TTTCCCAGCAGTGATGAAAGAATTGAACAGTGATATAATCTCCTATCTTCTGGTTTTTACTGAGTCATGGGCAGTGGTCAATGGCCTGGCCATATGGTCAGGCAGGAGGGCAATGGAAACCTGGCCTATTAAAAGGATGCCCATATGGGACACACAACCCTGTGGAAATCACTGTGGGAACTGGAGGGATGCATTAAACTAGAACATGTTGATGCCCATCAGAAGAACTCCTTTCCAGGCTTGGAAGGTGAATGGAATCAACAATCAGATATCCCCCTGCTCTCTCTCAAGACGGCCACCTGGGTCCATGAAGTGAGTGAATATGGGGTTAGTGCAGCAATGCAGAGATGGGCTGAATCTAGACCCATTCTTCTTGTACACTCTGAGTCACAAAATGCCAATAAAAACTGTTCTGTCGACCAGCAAAAAAGACAGAGACTGCAGATGGCTATGTGGCAGATTTCCTGTTAGGAAGGCCCTGAACATAGCAAGTTAGTTGGTAGCCCTGGGGGACTACAAACGGTTCTTTACAGGTAGAGACAGTGACTCTAGGCAGGGCTTTTCTTACCCAGTGGTAGAGGCAAATGCTCAGTTACAGTTTCTGGTTCAGCAATCTATGTTGTTGTTGTTGCTTTTAACACCTTTATTGTAACTATGTTTTTAATCTTTGTTACAACTCCTAAGGGCCTATAGGGCAAGATGTGCCTTCACTCCATCTGAAAAAATGGGGCTAACAGTGACTGCTGCTATATGGGCTGGTGGTAAAGACAGCCCACCTGTTCTGCACCTATGTAACCTTAACTTATCTGAATAGAAGTGGATGAGGGGGAGGCACCTGCTAGCCTAGTATTGCTGTCTGTAATCTAGACCAGCACAGTTGCTGAACCTAATGTCCCTTCCAAAGGTGGAGAAGCTTGGATATGAATGGAGAAAGGGAAAAAAGGGAAAAAAAAAAAAAGGCTCAGAGCAAGAGATGATACCATCTCTTAGCTCTATTATACTACATGCCTGAAAGGGTGAAGCCATATACTGTATCTCTGACACCCCTCCTGCTGTTTTTTTAAATTGAAGTATAGTTGGTTTACAACTATACTTAGTTAGTATACTTGGGTTAGTTTCAGGTATACAGCAAAATGATTCATTTATACATATGTATGTACAGATCTATTCTTTTTCGGATTCTTTTTCATTATAGACTACTACGAGATATTGAATACTGTATAGCACAGGAAACTGTAAGTCCTTGTTATCTACTTTTTATATAGTAGTGTGTATTTGTTAACCCCAAACTCCTGATTTATCTCCTTGCCCCTATCCCCTTTGGTAACCGAAAGTTTGCTTCCTATGTCTCTGAGTCTATTTCTGTTTTCTAAATAAGTTCATTTGTACCTTTTTTTTTTTACATATAAGTGATATGTATTTGTCTTTCTCTGTCTGACTTACATAGTATGATAATCTCTAGGTCCATGCATGTTGCTGCAAAATGACATTATTTCATTCTTTTTAATGGCTGAGCCATATTCCATTGTATATATGTACACCACATCTTCTTTATCCAGTCATCTGTTGATGAACCTATAGGTTGATTCCATGTCTTGGCAATTGTAAATAGTGCTGCTGTGAACACAGGGGTGTACGTATCTTTTCAAATTAGAGTTTTTGCCTCTTCTAGATATATGCCCACAAGTTGGATTGCAGGATCATATGATAGCTCTATTTTTAGTTTTTTTATGGACCCTCTATACTGTTCTCCATACATTCCCACCAACAGTGCAGGAGGATTCCCTTTTCTCCACACCCTCTCCAGCATTTATTATTTGTATACTTCTTGATGATGGCCATTCTGACTGGTGGGAGGTGATAACCTCATTGTGGTTTTGATTTGCATTTCTCTAATAATTATTGATGTTGAGCATCTTTTCATGTGCCTGTTGGTCATCTGTATGTCTTCTTTGAAGAAAAGTCTCTGGGTCTTCTGCCCATTTTTTGATTGGGTTGTTTTTTTGTGGTAGAGTTTTACGAGCTGTTTGTATATTTTGGAGATTAATCCCTGTGCTTCCTTTGCAAATATTTTCTCCCATTCTGTGGGTTGTCTTTTCATTTTGTTCATGGTTTCCTTTGCTGTGCAAAAGCTTTTAAGGTTTAATGAGGTCCCATTTGTTTAGTTTTGCTTTTATTTCCCTTACTCTGGGAGACGTATCCAAAAAATACTGCTGTGATTTACGTCAGAGTCTTCTGCCTATGTGTTCCTCTAAGAGTTTTTTAGTATCCAGTGTTACATTTAGGTCTTTAATCCACGTTTGAGTTTATTTTTGTACATGATGTTAGAGAATGTTCTAATCTCATTCTTTTACATGTAGCTGTCTACTTTTTCCAGCACCACTTATTGAAGAGACTATCTTTTCTCCATTGTATATCCTTATCTCCTTTGCTGTAGATAAACCGACACACCTGTGGTCAATTAATTTCCAGACTTTCTATCCTGTTACATTAAATCTGTGTATTTTGTGCCAGTACCATACTGTTTTTGATGACTGTAGCTTTGTGGCATAGTCTGAAGTCAGGGAGTGTGATTCCTCCAGCTTCATTCTTCTTAAGATTGTTTTGGCTATTAGGGGTCTTTTGGTTTCCAGCCAAATTTTAAAATTATTTGTTCTAGTTCTGTGAAAAATGCCCTTGGTAATTTGATAGGGATTGCACTGAATCTGTAGATTGCCTTAGGTAGTATGGTCATTTTAACAATATTGATTCTTCTATCCAAAACCATGGTACCTTTCCATTTGTTTGTGTCATCTTCAATTTCTTTCATCAGTCTTTAAACAGTTTTTGGAGTACAGGTCTTTTGCCTTTTGCCTCCTTACATAGGTTGATCCCTAGGTATCTTATTCATTTTGATGTGAATGGTAAATGGGATTGCTTTATTAATTTCTTCCTTAATTTCTCTTTCTGAGAACTCAAGAAAACAATTTTCCACTCCTGCTTTTGAAACCTGCAAACCCATGTGCCCTCATGCTGGGAGACTTTCTCATGATATGACAATGTACTAAATAGTTATTAATGACAAACTGGGATGCCAGGTATCATTTAACATTTATGACTGTTTTACTATAAGGGATACATGTTCAAAGACCAGGGAGTGGATTGTGATATTTTGATTTATAAAATATAAAGGATAGGGTTTAGACAGTTTCTTGGTTGGTGAAGGTGTGGAGATTTGGAGAGAGTGGAGCACTAGGAGAGGGTATGGAAGCTCCACCTCCTTTCTCCATAGCTTGCCCTATGCATCTCTTCCATCTGGCTGCTGCTGACTTATATCCTTTTATAATAAACCTGTGATCTAGGGTGAAGTGGGTTTCCTGCATTCTGTGAGCTACTCTAGCAAATGAGAATCTCTGATTTCCTCTGATATACAGCCAGTCAGTCAGAAGTTCAGGTAACAACCTGGACTTGTGATTGGAAAGGAGGGGTGCAGGCAGTCTTGTCGGACTGAGCCCTTAACCTGTGGGATAGGTGTCAGAATTGAGTTGAATTATAGGATATCCAGCTGTTCCTAAGAACTGCTAGGTGGCATGGGGAAAACTACCCCCCCACACACACTTTAATAAATACATTTCAAACTTTTATTAGTTTTACTGTTTACTTAAGTGATACTGACTGTATTATAACTTATTTTTTGGTTAGGTTACAAGCTAGTCTCACAGAATAAAATGGAAAACTTTCTACCTCTATGCATGAGAATCACGTATTCTTTGAATACCTTGTAGACCTCACACCACCATTAAAACTCAGTGATTTTTTTGGAGCTAGATGAAACTCTTGCACCAAAAGGCTTCACTAAGATAATTAGGTTAAATCATATGAAACTGCCAAAATTTGACTGGTTTTGACTTCAATGAGCAATTTTGTACGGTTCAACCTAATGGTTAGGTTCAACCTAATGGTTATAAACTGCCATTGTTGATTCAAGAATATTTTCCTAGAAAATCAACCGTTTTCTGTAATTTTTCTAAATTATTGTATAATAGCGTACAATCTTTTAATCACCTTCACATTGGAGTGAGTTTAATAGTACCATGTAGAAAAATGTCTTCAACTTCTGAAGAGGAATTTTGGTAAAATTATGGTATAAGTAAGTAAAGGTTCAATAAACTTAAAAATTCCAAGCATAAATTCTTATTCCCCACCTAACCTGTAAACCCCTAAGAAGGCCACAGGTTGCTTTCAGGGGCTCTGTAAACATGTGAGCCAAATTTATATGTGAGTGCATACATCATACGGGGAGAACCCAGTAGCTTTAGCAAATTCTCAAATACCTAAAGTCCCAAATAACTTTAGAGAGTTTTGAAATGACATTTAACAAGGTACATACATAAAAATGTGATGGAAATTCTATTAAATGGAAGACAGGAAAAATACCATTTCAGAGTACAAAGATTCCAATGTAAACAAACTTACATTCTATTTCATTTAAAGATTAAAAGTACATAAAAATATAGAAGGAATGAAAACCATTTTATATTAATGCTAACATTCTTCTGGAAACTATGTGGATAGGTAGACATTTCTCAACAAACCGAAAAGACATGTGACTTTCATCCAAGGTTTGTAAACTTCTAAATGTGTTTCTACATGTTTTTAGAGATGAACAAACTAAAGAGGAAAACAGAGTAACAGCAGAAAATAAAATGTGAGATAAAGGAGACAGTTAATGAAAGGTGAACACAAATTGTTTCTCCAATCACAAGGTAGTGAACGCAATCATAAAAAGAGGGAAAACAATGGGAAAAAGAGCATTAACCATGTAATGGCTTACCTTGACAAAGACCGCTGGAAAACGAAAGTAGGGAGGTACTGAAACAACATGGAAGGAATAGAAAATTGAAAAGCAAAGAGAAAAGGCTAAAAGGAAAGAGTGAAGCAAAACAATGAAAAATCTTATTTTGAAAACAGTATTTCAGGTTTCTCTGAAGCATAATGAAAAAGAAAAGGATAAAACTAACCTGTTGTACAAATTCCAAGGGTACTGGTGTGGCTTGTGTAAATGCTTCTAGATGAATACCATGCACAGGGTCTTCAACTATCAGACAGCCAATGTCAAACCATCTGCAACAGAATGTATGAGTTTCACATTGTGTATGTGCTAAATGAGTTATGGTGAATAAAGTACTAACATTCCGATAAAACATTACCAGGTTGACTAGAAAAACATTTCCTTGAAATTTTCAATAGGACAATCTATAAAACAACATATAAAATTACCCTGTTGGCTTAATTCAGAGAAGGAAAAAAAACAACAAATAATTGAAATTACTCATCATGGAAAGTTCCTTTTCTTGCTAAGATTTGGAGAAAAGAATGGCAATTAGGGGTGCTCAAATATGCAACAGATAAATCTACTCATTTGAAAATTCAAATAACATCGTAATTTAAAATGTCACTTGCTAAAATATGGGAAAATTTATATTACCAACTCTATAATTAATATATAGCCAAGTTGCAAAGTTACTATAAAAATAAACTCATTCAGGAAATAACAAATCCTCTCCTCATTCCTGATAATTCCTTCTAATCACACTTTCTGAAATCACACTTTCTGAATTGTTCACAACGAATCAGTCTGAAAACAGCCTCATGAAATCAAGAAAATTTTCTTCAATTTAAAGATACACGTAAAAAGTCATAGTTAAAAACTGACTTAGGTGAGGTCATCTGTAATATCACTAGCATTTTAACTAGCCAGAATCAGGAAATCATGAGTTTAAATAAGATACAGAGCAAGAAAATTTTAAAATATACAGATTAAAGGGCGATGAAATACAATATGATTAGGAAACTTATTTACATATTCAAAGAAACAACAAAACAATATGTAGAATAACTTTTGAGTTTATAATGTCTGTAGTATTCACATCCTAAAATTTTCCTTGAAATTAAGAACCTTAAATAGTTATTTTATTTATTATATGAATCATTATTTTAAATAATTTATTTGGTATATGATGAATCAGTGTTTTATTTTATATGATTTGTGTATTATGCAGATGGCAGAGAATAACTGTAGTGACTAAGCTTCCAGGCACAGCACGGACGTCCTGACAAGCAGCAACGCTGAAGGTACGAGCAGTCTCCCCTACCATGCCGGTGATCACACGAGAAAAACTCCCCTTCCTCTCCAAACTACTGTCACGCTCCCGAGCGTGTCAACCTGGATATCCCATCCTTCTCAACTCAAATCTAAACTGCCGTCACTGCCATGCCCACCGAGACCTCTTCCGTTTCCCTGACGAGTGCTATTGGCTGAGGAAACGCTGTCCTCTCCCTCCTTCCTCCTGTCCTTCCGCCCCACTCCCACTCCCCACCCAGCAGGAGGAAAAGTGGCGGTCTCCGCCGTTCATACTCAAGGACAATTGCTAAAGAAGGCTCTCCTCCTCCTCACCCTCTCCATGCGGTTGGGGAAATAAGACAGATTCGACCAATCCCATATGGAAGCTACTTAGACTTAAAAAAGGCTTAAGAATGGTGGTTCCAAGACATTTAGATTTCATGTAGCCGAAAAAAAATCGAAATAGCACCTGAGGAGCTGACACAGGTATGCCAATTTGTATTTTATCAAAGAAAGACCGTCCACTACCACCAGTCACTTCACAGAAGGACATTTTAACCCATTTCACACATAACCCTTGGTTTTAGAACTTGATAGGTTAATCTCAGAATAAGGACAATTCATGTTTACACAGGTTATTTTTCCATTTTGGTATAAAACATGCTAATTTCCCTCATGTAGCATGAACTGATGCAAAGTTTATCACAAATAGCTAGGTCTATACTGGCTTTACTAGTAGGAGGCAAACACCAATGGTCTTTTCTTGACTCAGTTATAAGCATGTATTTTCCTGACTATCTTCTGTGCATTTATTTTTCATGGGAACACCACAGAGAGAAGTAGCCAAAGCGAACGATCGAGTGTTTTGGGTCACGGGTTTGCTGTTTGTTCTCATGTCCTTCCTCTAGTCCCCTTCTGTATCTTAATATTACAGCCTTTTCACCCTCTCCTCCTTAAACCATACTGGAAACCATCCACAGACTTCCTAATACCAATTACTATTCCTAATCTTCCTTATTTGCTAGTCTTCTGCTCAAAAAAAAGGTAGGAAAAATAGCACATCTAGGTATGATGGAGCAGTTGATGGCAGACCAATGCTCCCAATGAAAAGCTGGATGAGTATACAAGTCATATCTAATGGCATCCAAGAGCTGTAGAAGCAAGGAAGACAAAATGGAGTAACATTCTGGACAGGGACAACCTTTCAAAGGTAAGCTGAAGACTTTCAGCTGACCCTAAGCACAACCCAGCCTGGACTCAGGTCAGTCTATCTAAAGTGCACCAAACTACTACCCCTTCCACACACCTCACTACTCTGTTTATTAGAGGGAAGAGTGAACCTTCTCAAAATTACCTCAAGACTCTCGAGTTTCTTATAAACAATGCCTGGCTTTCCAAGATTATGAGGCATCCACAAAGACAGCACCTTATCGTCACACCAAAAGGAGGCTAAAAGAGGCCCACACACTGGCTTCAGTAGACAAAGATCTTAAAATAAATATGACTCATATTCAAGGAAAGAGAGAGGTAAAGATAGTCGAAATAGAAAATATAGGTATTCAATAGTAAATTAAATCTACTTTTTTTAAAAAATCAATGTATGGGCTACACAGCAGACGAATCAGAGTGAGGAAGTAGGGGAAAGAGGGGACTGACCAAATGAGAACTCTGAGGCACAGTCAGAAGGTGAACAAGCATGTAATTACAGTCCTAGAAAGAGAAGAGAGAAAACGGGCCAGAAGCCAATTCTGAAGAGCCAATGGCCAAGAACTTTCCAAAACTGATGAAAGACATAAAATCCAATGAAAGAAAGAATCAAGCTCAGGGAATCCACAAAAATTCAATACCTAAGCAAACACACACCCCTGTACCTACCATACAAAACTGCAAAAATAAAATGACAGAAAAAATCCTAAATGCAGCTAAACAATACATTCTCTTCACAGAAACAAGCTGGATAGCTGATGTAACAGAAATGATGGAAGCCAGAAAACAGTACAACAGCATCTTTAAAGTACTGAAAGAAAAGATCTGCCAATCCAGACTTCTATATCCAGAAAAAAACACCCTGTGAAAATAAAGGTGCTTTAAAGGCTCTTTCAGACAAAAGCTGAGAGAACTCCTGGCTAAAGTCTTCCATCACAATGTATATAGTACCAAAGGATGCTCTTTAGGCAGAATGAAAATGATCCCAGACAGAAAAACCAAAAATGCAGGAAAGAATTCAGAGAATAAATGTAAGTGAATAGAGTGTACAGAAATATTGTGTAAAATATATACACAAGATACTTAATACTGCAAAAGATGAAGGGGGTAAATGGTATTGAAAGTAGTTCAGTATTATCAAAGTCATAATTTTTATTAAAACATAATACATGGAAAAAGGCACAATGGAATCTCTAAGGTAGCCCTTAAATGAATATTTCAGTTTCCCCCTCTGTTAACCTTTTAATATTCATCATCACTGGATGGTTGCTTGGTGCTTACATAGAAAGTTCAAACTTCCCAACCTAGCAATCAAAGCTCTTCAAGCTACTTTCTGATTTCCTATCCAACAGTGTTCAGCCAAGCTGATAAAATCACTGACCCCAGAATACATCTTAACCATCTTCACACTTTTCCTCCATGCAGAATGTCCTAGCTATTCTTTTCTACTTAACCAAATTTTACCTACTCTTCAAAATTCAGCTCAAGTCCCAATCATTCACGGATCTTATCTGACACCATCTCCACATCAAGTTAATTCCATTGAAAATGTACATAGCATTTTATGTACGGCCCACGTGCAGCAACGAAGACCCAATGCAGCCAAGAATTTAAAAAATAAAAAAATATGTTCCTCTACTGACTGACGGGTGTTTGGTGATACCTATCAGTGTGAAAAGATATTTAAAAAAAAAAAAAAGATGAATTATGTTGCTGGAGGGTTTTTCCAAACTAAATAGATGAGAGGTGTAGTGTTCAACAGAACTCAAACCTAGTGACTGCCTCCAGGCCCTCTTGCCATACCTTCCATTACTCTGAATGACTGTGTAAATGATTGTTGCTGGAGGTCAACATCCAAGCCAATAACTAAATCACTGTATCATATGTAATTGATTATTAACACAATCTTATTAGCATGCAGGGAACACAATGTCCTTTCTACAATTAAAAAGGAGAAACGAGCAGAAATGTGAGCAGAACTACACAGGTCACATAGCTAGTTAGATGACAGAGCTAGACCAGAACGTAATTTGCTCTCTGGTTCTAAAATAGGATACATTTTTTTACTAGATGTTCAGTGTAAGCAATCATATTTTGCTCCTAAGAGAAACATAATAAGCCTCTTACTGAACCGTTATACGCCAACAAACTGGACAACCTAGAAGAAATGCATAAATTCCTAAAAACACACAACCTGAATCAAAAGAAACAGAAAATCTGAACAAATGGATTACCTGTAAGGAGACCGAATCAGTAATCAAAAACCTCCCAACACACAAAAGTCCAGAACCAGATGGTGTCACTGGTGAATTCTACCAAAGATTTAGAGAAGAATTAATACCAATCTTTCTCAAACTCTTCCAAAAAACAGAAGATGAGACACACTTCCAAACTCATTTTACAAGGCCAGCATTACCCTGATACCAAACCCAGACAAGGACACTACACAGAAGAAAATTAAAGGCCCAATATCCCTGAAAAACAGAGATGTAAAAATCCTCAGTGAAATACTAGCAAACCGGATTCTACAATGCATTAAAAGGATCTATACCATAATCAAGTGGGCCAGGGATGCAAGGATGGTTCAAAATGTGCCAATAAATCAATGTGCTACACCACATTAACAAAATGAAAGATAAAATCATACGATCATGTCAACAGAGCTATAAAAAGTATTGGACAAAATTCGACACCCATTAATGACAAAAACTCTCAACAGAGTGGATACAGAAGGAACATACCTCAACATAATCAAAGTCATATACGGCAAGCCCATAGCTAATATGCTCAACAGTGAAAAGCTAAAAAGCTTTTACCTCTAAGATCAAGACAAGAATGCCCACTCTTCCCACTTTTATTCAGCATGGTATTGGAAGTCCTAGTCAGAGTAATTAGGCAACAAAAAAAATGCATCCAAATCAGAAAGAAAGAAGTAAAACTGTCACTATTTGCACATGACATATTATATATATAAAAACCTAAAGCTACCACCAAAAAACTGTTAAAACTAGTAAATTCAGTAAAGTTGCAGGATACAAATTCAATACCCCCAAATTTGTTGTATTTCTATACACTAATAGCAAACTGTCAGAAGAAAAAAGTTTTTAATACCATTTACAATTACATCAAAAAGAATAAAATAGTTAGGAATATATTTAACCAAGCAGGTGAAAGTTGTCTACTCTGAAAACTATAAGACGTTGATGAAAGAAACTAAAAAAGACACAAATAAATGGAAATATATTCCATGCCCATGGACTAGCAGAATGAACATTGTTAAAATGTTCCTATTACCCAAAGGAAGCTACAGACTCAATGCAATCCCTATCAAAATTCCAGTATTTTCCACAGAAATAGAACAAACAATCCTAAAATTTGTATGCAACCACAAGACCCTGAATAGCCAAATCAAATCTTGAGAAAGCAGAGCAAAGCTGGAGGCAATATGCTCCCCGATGTCAAATTATAATACGTAGCAACAGTTATCAAAACAGTATGGTACTTGCATAAAAAACAAAAATACAGATCAATGCAATGGAGCCCAGAAATAAACCCATGCATTTATGGCCAATTAGTTTATGACAAAACAGCCAGGAATATGCGATAGGGAAAGGACAGTCTCTTCAATAAATGGTGTTGAGAAAACTGGACCACAATTTCACACCAGAGATAAAAATTAATCAAAATGGATTAAATACTTGAGCATAGCATCTGAAACCATAAAAAACTAGACGAAAACATAGGCAGTAAGCTCCTTGATATCTGTTGTGGCAATGATGTTTTTTGGGTTTGACACCGAAAGCAAATGCAACAAAATCAAAAACAAGTGGGACTACATTAAGCTAAAAAGTTTCTGCACAGCAAAGGAAACGATCAACAAAACGAAAAGGAAACCTACCAAATGACAGACAATACCTGCAAATCATATATCTGATATGGGGCTAATATCCAAAATATATAAAGAACTCATACTAATCAACAGCAAAAACCAAACAATCCAATAAAAAAATGGGGAGAAGATCTGATTAGCCTCCTTTTCCAAAGAAGACATACAGATGGCCATACGTAAAAAGGTGCTCAACATCACTAATCCTCCAGGGAAATGCTAATCAAAACCACAATAAGATAACATCTCACACTGTTAGAATGGCTATTATCAAAAAACAAGAAATAAGTGTTCACGAAGAGGTGGAGAAAAGGGAACCCTTGTGCACTGTTGGTGGGACTGTAAATTGGTACAACCACTATGGAAAACAGTATGGAGGTTCCTCACAAACTGAACTACCAAATAATCCATAAAGTTCACTTCTGGGTATTTATCCAAAGGAAACGAAAATACTAACTCAACAAGACATATGCATCCCCCTGTTCACTACAGCATTATTTCCAACAACCGAGGCATGGAAGCAACTTAAATGTCTGCTGATGATAAAGAAAATGTGATTTATACACACACTCACACATAAATATGTACGTATATATACAATGAAATATTATTCCATTGAAAAGGAAGGAAAACCTTGCCATTTGCAGCAACGTGTATGGACACTGAAGTCATTAAGCTAAGCGAAGTAAGTCAAATAGAGAAAGACAAATACTGTATGATCTCACATGTGGGGGGAAAGCAAACTCACAGATACAAAGGACAGATTGGTGGATGCAGAGGCAGGGGTGGGAGGGGGAGTAAAATGGATAAAGGGGATTAAAAGGTACAAACTTCCAGTTGTCATGAGAATATAATGTACAGCATGGTGACTATAGTTAATAATACTTTTTGTACATTTGAAAGTTGCTAAGAGAATAGATTCTGTCTTGTAAGTTCTCTAAAAAAATTATAACTATGTTAAAAAAAAAAAATCCTCTTACTTGTCAGGAAGCAATTCTGCAATGAAGTTTTCTACTGACACAGCAGTCTGTTTTTCATGGATCACTCCAGTTCGACGCAAGCTATCTATCCGTTCCTGGGCACCCTGAAACAGTGTGCATTAGAAACTATTTTAAATTATTTGGTTTTAAACATACTAATTTATGACTGTGTAAGTAATATGCATATACATTTATACACAAACACATATATACTCACTGTAAACATGAAAACAATACAGAAGCACAGAGAGTAAAAAGTGAAAAAGCCCCACTGTATTCCCCTCAGTATTAAGAGTCTGCAGTGCATCTTCCAAATTATTCCTGTATGCATTATTTTGGTTGCTATCATGAAATGGATAATTTTTATATTACATGTTCTAATTGGTTATTACTAATAAAAGGAAACTGTGCTTTTTAATGTTGATCTGGCAAGAGGCCATCTTACTAAATAAAAATGATTTATCAATTCTAGTAGTTTTTTAGTTGATTCTCTCTTGAATTTTTCTAGGCAGGCAATCATATCAATAGCAAATATGTTTTTTCTCTTTCTTCTGATTCCTTTTATATATAGCCTTTAAAGTTTGCACCAAAATAACAGTTATTTTAACTTCAAATGTATGCATTACATCAAAGCTTATTCAAGAAAATCAGTACCATTTATGAAACAAAATTGAGGGGCTGAGAACACTAAATAGATAACTCAAAATCATGAATTAAATATATACTTGTGGCAGAAAACTAAAAGCTGGATTAATGAGGACAAGGTTGTTGTTTACTACTTTTATTTGAATCACTTCATAAAAGTGATCATGAATGATATGATGAGAATGTGTTCAAAAAGCAAGATAAAGCTATTTCTGAATAAAACTAGTCATGGATAATACCCCTATTTTTTATCATGAACAGCAGAGCTAAGCAGTGAATGAGATTAAGGGGTCAATTCTTCTTCAAATGAAAATGAAGAAAGCTAAGACACTTCTAGAGACAACTGAATTTATTTCAGAGACAACTTAAATGAAGAAGTGACAACTGCATGAGAACATGTAGGCCAATCTGTCATTAGCTTATAAACATGAAAGATGAAAGAAGATATGAGTTAAACTACAATAAAGTCAAGCTGTATTTTTGCTTACTCTTGTATCTCTGGTACCTAGCATAGTGTCTAACCTAATAGGCAGCCAGTGAGAGCTTACTACATGAAAAAGTGAACAAGGGAAAAACTAAGGGCTTCTGAAGGCCTATATGGCTAACATTAGGAATCTAAAGAGTGTAAATATGGCATCACCAAATCTAATAGTGCACGAGGAGGTCACTGTTGAACCTGAAAGAAAATACAATAGCTAAGATGAACCTAATTCTTTGTACTGGATAATGTAAATCTGTTCCGAAATTTGGGAGGAGTAAAATAATTCCCTCCTCCCAAAAGGTAGTTATGTCTAATTTTTTACTATAAAGAAGTTTAAATAAGTGTTAATTCAGTAAGAAACTATTAGGGGATTAGTGGGATGTTTAGAGATTCATTCGCAACTCTTCAAAGGTGCTATCTCAGCTACACACTACAACAAAATATTCCTAGATTTTATGCTCCCAGGAAACAGAAACTAAGTTGGTTCATTTTTTACTATCCTACAGCACAGGGCTTTATACTTCATAGGGTTCACAAAATATTGAACTGAAATTAATTAGCACCTATAAAAGATAGGATAATGAGTTAGGTAGACAAGTGTAATGCCTTGTTTTTATGGAATCCAGAAGAGAAAATGAAGAGGGGGTAAATCAGCCTCTGTCCTCCTCTGACCACAACACTACTTAAGTGTGGCATCTTTTGGCGTCACAGAGACACTTTGATATTAGTCACTACCAATGTTTTGAGACGGGAATTTTAACTTTATTTTTCAGCAGTGTAGGGCACCAAAAATTAGGTAGTTTAGAGGCCACACTGAAGTAACTGTCTCAGAACTGAAGTAAGATGCAGAAATGCCTCTAGAGCTTATACTGTACTCTGAGAGCTTATACTAAGCAACTTGGTTCAGATAATCAAAATTCCATGCTTCTTCAAAAATTCTTACAGATATTAACTACATTCTTCTTGACTATAAGCTATAAAACAATGGTCAGAAATATAATTGGCTTTTCAGTAAAATTAATACTTGGCATTGGAGAAGTTTCAGAAGCTTCCTAACTTTAATTACAGCTGATTTATTTCCTTAAACAATTTCATATGTTTAAAGGAAAACTTAAGTTTAGTCAAAAAAGACATTCACTTCAAATAAAATCTGAAGGGGAGAAAAAAATCTGGGTTGAAATTTTAATATTCTACATTATTTTCTTTTTGTTAGTGCCCTCTACTGTTTCTGAAAAGAAACAAACCGCTGGGAAATTACAAATCACTTTCCTATATATATCAGTTTCAATGAATTTTAATTTTAAGCTTGTATTAAAGATTGTAGAAAAGGAACACTTTTCTAAATTTGAAGGGCAAAAACCAATACTAAAACAAATCAGTCAAATACTAATAAAATCACAATATAAACTGAACTATTAATATTCAGAAAATAAGATTTTTCTTACAGAAAAAAAATCTCCATCAGCCTTTCAAGTTCAGTTTATACCGATCTGAAGTGTCTTTTATGCAACGATATTTAACATAAAATATTTAAGACTCGTGTTTTAAAAACCATGAAATTCTGAGTTATGTTCCAAAAATCACGTGGTGATCTATCATCAGAAACTATGAATGACGACCCTATCAGTTTTTTTGAGAACAATTAGAAACCACAGGACTTGCAAGAAGATTTTACGGTGTCATTATGCCATTTGCATCCTTAACATCTAAAACATTATTCTGAATTGTCCCTTCATATGACACTCAGGAGGATTTTAGGTTCCGAGGCAATCAGTGGGTGAGCGGTACATCTTTATTTTCTAATGGGAGAGGTCAGAGCTTATGAAGAGGAGATGAGAAAGGAGATGGCACGTTGCCTCCATTACAAGTATGTATTCAGGCAGAAAATTTTAGGAAAGCATACATACGGAAGTTGAGGAAGGAGAAGCTGAGTTCCTGAAAACTATCTGGGTCTACCTGGACCTTGTAAAATCTTTGCATGTCACCAGAGGTACTTATACACAAGTCTGAAGACCACTGTTTGATGGTAAAGGTACTATCAAAGTATAGCAACAGGTGGGCAGCTAGAGCTCTGTTAAAGGGAAAAATCTCTATTCTCATATGGCTGACATGTTGTTAAACCAAAATTCAAAACAGATCCCAGAGGGAAAACATCTTCTGCATTAGACTGCTTACTTGAGGAAATAAATTATTAATTTAAAAAGTTTACCCTAGCAGTTTTAATTCTATTGTTTGGGGTTTTATACCAAGATATCTCAATAGGACTGCTAGATATTCATTTTAAAGAACATGAAGCACTATTCTAAAAGTTTATATCTATAAACGAAACAAAGATCTCTGCTCTTGTAGAACTTAACTCTAGTGGGGAAAAGGCATTAAACAATAAAAATAACATCAACATAAACTATATGGTAAATCAGAAGATGCTGGCTGCTATCAGAGGAGGGCTAGAGGGATCAGGAGGGCAGGGCAGGTAGGTGCAGACTGCAGTACTGAACAGGGCGGTCAGGACAGGCCCCACTGTGGAGGGAAGATGTTAGTGAAGACTTGAAGGAGGTCAGGGAGTCAACCAAGTAGATATCTGAGGAAAGAGTGGCTCAGCGAGAGCTGTGAAAAGGCTGTGAGAAGAGAGCAGCCTGTCAGACAAGCGCAAAGACCTGCAAGGAGGCCAATGTGGCTGGCGTGGAGTGAGCAAGGGGGAAGACCAGAGAAAAGCAGAAGGCCGCTGGTGCAGCCGCTGTGGAGAACAGCATGGAGGTTTCCTAAAAAAACAAAAATAGAGCTGCCATATGATCCAGCAGTCCCACTCCTGGGCACATACCTGGAAAAGATGAAAACTCTAGTTTGAAAAGATACGTGCACCCCACGGTTCACAGCAGCACTATTTATAATAGCTCATGGAAGCGACTAAGCGTCCACGGACAGATGAATGGATAAAGAAGATGTGTGTGTGTGTCCGATGGGACATTACTCAGCCATAAAAAAGAATGAAATCATGCCATTTGCAGCAACATGGATGGACCTAGAGATGATCACACTAAGTGAAGTACCTCAGAGAAAGACAAATATTTTATGATATTACTTATATGTGGAATCTAAAAAGATAGTACAAATGAACTTATTTACAAAACAGAAACAGATTCACAGACATAGAAAACAAACTTACAGTTACCAAAGAAAAAAGGGTGGGGGGTATAAATTAGGAATTTGAGATTAACAGATACACACTACTACATATAAAAGATACACAACAAGGACCAACTGTTGTACAACAAGGAACTATACTCAGTATCCTGTAATAACCTATAAAGCAAAAGAATCTGAGAAAGAATATATATACACACACACACACACACACACATATATATATATGGTATAACTGAATCACTCTGCTGTACACCTGAAACACTGAAAATCAACTATGCTTCAATTAAAAAAAAAAAAAAAAGAAGGCCAGTTCAGCCTGGCCACGTGGGGCTGTGGAAGCCTTGGTAAGGAATTTGGATTTTACACTCAGTGAAATATAAAGTTCTGAAAAGAATAGTGAAATGGTTTGATCTTGTGTGTTGAAAGAATTACCCTGGCTACTCTGTTGAGGATAACATATAGGGTCACAAGGGGAGAAACGGGATGACCTGTTAGGAGGTGAACCCAAGATTCCAGCAAGGCTTTGTGGTGGCTTCACCCAGGGTGGGAGCAATGGAGACAGTGACAAGCAGTCAGATGCCGGATGTATTCTGAAGGTACAGTGAACAAGATTTCTTGATGAACTGGACATGGATAACGAGAGAAGTCAAGGATGAATCCAAGGTTTCTCATCTGAGAAAATGGAAGGACAGAGCCGTCATCAATTGAGATGGAGAAAGCTGCGGCGGGGGACAGGTTGGAAGGAAAGAAAAGCAGTTGAGTACTAGAAATGATAAGTTTGAGACATTCAAGTAAAGGTATTAAAAAGGCAACGTTAGAGCTTCCCTGGTGGTGCAGTGGTTGAGAGTCCGCCTGCCGATGCAGGGGACACGGGTTCGTGCCCCGGTCTGGGAAGATCCCACATGCCACGGAGCAGTTGGGCCTGTGAGCCATGGTCGCTGAGCCTGCGCGTCCGGAGCCTGTGCTCCACAACAGGAGAGGCCACAACAGTGAGAGGCCCGCATACCGCAAAAAAAAAAAAAAAAAAAAAAAAGGCAACTTTTATATTAACCTAGTTTACATGAGAGGTCTCTGCTCGAAACTGTCAGCACACAGCTGGTATTCAAAGCTGTGGGACTAGTTGAGATCACCGAGAGAGTGAACGTAGATGAAGGGAAGGAGACCATCAGGAGGTTGGGGAGAAAAGGAGCCAGCAAAGGAAGCACAGAGGAATTTGTGAGGCAGGGAAGAAACCAAGTGTGGCATCCCCAAAGGCGAACGTAAAAGACATTACAGAGGAGTCTCAAAGCCAGTGGTAGGTCAAACAAGATGCACAACATTGGCGACCTTGAAAGCATTCTCGGTGGAGGGGTGAGGGTGAGAGCCTGGCTGGGGTGGGTGTAAGAGACTGAAGAGAAGAACTAGAGATAAAACTGTTGGCAACTCTCTGCAAGTTTTGCTGCAAAACGAAGTGAAAACCTAGGGTTGGAGGTGATGGGGAAAGTAAGGTAAAAAAATTTGTTAAGGTTTTCTTTAGTTTATTTTTGTTTTTTAAGGTGGGAGCAGTGTTTACATGCTGATGAACTGTTCATTTGTTTTTGCATGTTTGTATACTGATGGTAAAAAGTGTATGAGAGGGAGGGCAGAACTCTTGGAACTTTAGCACTTAGCACGCAAGAGGGGGCCAGGTCTACTATGGTAATGGGATTGGCTTGTGTATGTGACAAATTTTTTAATGGTAACAGTCCAGAAGACAAAGTGTACGATATTCAAGTGGTGGTGTGAGTATGCAAGTGTGTGAAATTTGTTTTCAAAATAAGCCATTCTGTTATCTGCCACTATTACGCAGGGATTATATAGGTATCTACAGACTTAATCACAAGGTCTTCTTCCCCCACTACCAAAAACTATGGCAGTGTCTTCCTTTGGTAAGTGCCTTACTACTGGTAATGGAATTTAATAGGTCTCTATATGCTGATGAGACCTTGGCACACTCTGGTTATATACAGGCTTTGTGCCTATAACATGCCAGCTGGTGGGGTCTCTAAGGCAAGGTAGTTAAAAGGACAGGGAAAGGGAAGACTCAAAGAAAGTAAGTTAAGAAAACTTTCTGGATGAGCGCCGAGTCCCCTCATCAAGTACTGGGTTGGCCAAAAAGTTCGTTCGGGTTTTTCCGTAACGGAAAATACAAGGGAAAAGGGGGACTTTGTCAGGTGTATTTACAACCTGCTTACTAGAACCCCATTACTACTCTGGAAACTTCCACATATATGAGAATCCCATAAACCATGAAGAAATACATAAAGTGTAAAGTATTATTAATAGTGATAGTAATAAAAAGCTTACGGGATTCAAGGGATATTATAATTTCAGTAATGGATTTAAACTTTAATACTGGGTTAAGAAGATGTCTTTCAGGACTAAAACTGCTCTCTTTCTGTGCTCTTGGCATGTGGTTCCTCCCCTCCCCGGATAATCAAAACCTACTTTAGGTTTCTTTAAATTAAAACTCCACTGTATCTTCCTAACACTACAGAACTGTCTAATTAAAAACCAAATCAATATTTCAGTAAGTAAAAACCCAAAAGCTCCATATAGACCATAGGATTATCATCAGAAATTTTAAAAAGTGAACTGCAAGCTACTGTATCCTGAAAAAGATGCTCATTACTCACTTTTAATCCAGCTGCATAACCCACTGGTTGTGGGGCAATGCTGGACTGCCCAGCTTCCCCGATCACCACAGCTAAGCCAAAGACCTCCTGGAAGGCATCTCGGACAGCGGCAACTTTTACTTCTTTATTTGAGGTCACTACAATGTCCAGTTCACCTCCAGATTCTACAAAGACCAGAAGAAAATTTCAATTCCAAATTAAAATAATGAAATTCTCATAATTACTACCATGCGTTAACATTTTACTACATAATTACTCTTAACCTGGCAAAACAATGCAAGCTATAGATTACCTTTTCATTGGCTGAGGAAACTGAGGCTGATAAGGTCTCACCCAAGGTAACACAGCTACTTAGCGATGATGTCAGGACTCAAATCTAGGTCTGTATCTTTTCACTACACTGCCTGATGCAAGCAGACACATTTCACCCTGTCATCTAATGGCATCTTACTCTGAGATTTCTCAAGAAAGCTATTTGTACTGTGAAATATTTTGCCCTAGAAACAATGCTTTTCCTCAGTTAAGTATCTTTTGGAACAGCTGAAAATATTTTCCAAATATCTGGGCTTTTATTATGGATTTCTTTTTTCCTGATTGAAACAATGTTCCACAGATCCCATCTTTACTGGAATTTCTTAAATTATTAAAACCTAAAAGCAAGGGTTACCATAGGAAAGAAGAGGAAGGCTATATGTTTTTCTTTTTTTTCCTCCATGTGGGACATATCTCTTAACCCTATCTAGCTAAGTACTGTTCCATTAGGCTTCAGCTCAAAAAGGTTTTCGGTTTTTTGTGATGACTCATGCCACTTTTAATGATTATAAAGGGAGAGCTAATCAAAACAATGTTGAAACTGTGTTAAAGTCCATTTCTAATAGTTCTTGTGCTTTCTTGATACATTTGAAATTGTTATGGTGATTTCTAAAATATTTATATAAAAACATGGTAAGTTTTACTAGAGTTTTGTTAGATCCAAATGGTCTCATTTTTGCTGCCTGTCAATAGCTTTTTCACACTCAGTATTACTGCTTTTTATAGGTGATGAAGATTATATGTTATTATATCTTCTAATAATAGAAATTTTATTTTGTATCTTTCTCTCCCCGTTTTATTTTCCTTTTTCTGGATGTCATGCAGAGTACTGGCCTGAGAAAAGTCTTTGGTTTGAGTCCCGATTTTATCACTTACTAGCTTCGGTACCTTGGGGAAGTCACTGAGCTTGTTTCCTCACAGAAAAATTCCTGCCACCTCACAGGGCTTGCTCTAAGGATTAAATAAGGTAATTGATTTCACCATCTAACACAGTACCCATTAAAACAAAAAGAGCTCCAAAAATACTAATTGCTTTCTTTTTCTCACTAAAAATAAGAGCTTGTGAAGAGAAGAACATATATACTGCATTAATTATGTCAAACTTGATTATTATGAATATATGAAATCAGTATATATGGTAGGGTCCAATTTCTAAACCCTGGCAATTACAAACACAGAGAACAATTCAGCTGAGTTAATTCTTTGATTCAGTTTTCCACTTAAAGGGAAGCAAAGAAGCTAAGTGTTAGCTCCACCAAGTTGTGTAACCTAGGATAATAATAAAGCTCTCTGAACACAAGTTCCTCATCTAAAACTTGAGAAAAATAACACTAGCTTGCAGAGCTCTTATGGGAATTAGTATCTGGCAGATCAAGCATTTAATAAATGGTACTTATCATTATTAAGTCTTGCCCTTTGACATTTACTAGACAATTACCAACAGACTCAAGACTTAGAAAGCTACTAACTTTTTATTGCTACTGAAAATCTCTGTTCAAGTACCTGGTGCATAGCCTTGGCCGCTAAACTGTTATCTTCAACAGAATTACTAATAATTGGTCACAAATCCTGCTAAGAGATTATGTTATTTCACTTACTGGATATGTACATAAAAAATTAATCCTCCAGTTAACCGTCTGGAGGATTCTTGGTAATGAGGGTTCAAAGGTGATTAAAGTACCTTTCCCAACAAATCTAGTAATGACATATTATCAGTGAATAGATTAACAGCCTATAAAAATTTTATTCCTGAGTTACACATAAACACATTTAATTAAAATAGATAACTGGAGAAATGTCAAAACCAAATATGAACAAAGCAACACTTCAAATGTCAACAATGAACGGTAAAATTCATATAAAGCAACACTAACCATATTCATAATTAAAATCAGTAAGTATACTAATAATTCAAATCATTTTTACTCCTCCAAAGTTCATGCTGGGAAGTTTTCAAAATTTATTTAATGGTGACTAAGAAAAAGATGAATTAAAAGTATCAACACCAAGACTGACAGTCAATGTGAGAATATAGGAGGATTTTCACTAATTACAAGACCTGTGGGATTACACTCAGTGGCTGACATGAGCACATACTTTATATGGCAGATGCTGCTCTATTTTAAGTACATACTGATATATGGAGCCATGCCAGGGTCCAGCGTTGTAATCATGCTTTCTACTGAATGTTTTGTTTTATCAAGCACAGATTTCACCATAGGGTTCCCAGCCACACCCTGCACAGAACAAATTCACAGGTAAATACTCATTCTAAGCAAAGAACACCATGATTACCGGATGGTGAGGAAAAAAAAAATTTTTTTTACGTTTCCAATGCATTGCAGACCTATACTTTCGTAAAATATAAGAAAACTAAGGTTATGGCAATGTCAAATTGCTATGAAATTTCAAAATGCTTCCTCTCAATTTCTCTTCTCATCTCATCATAGATTGACAGCAATCTACTGACCCCACTTCGAGCAACACTGGCCTGGGAAGTATGTTTATTGTATATATATGTATGTGTGTATATATATATGTTTATTTCATTTCTATGTATATCTATATTTTTATTTCATTTCATTACTATTTATTTATTTATCTATATAAAAGACTAGGCAAAACTTGTCCATCAAGGTCCCAAATAAAGACTGTAATTGGATGTCTCTGAAGACTCATATTTTGTTCCCTAATATAAAAATAAAAACAGTAAAAACATTTCTTATCTTTATTTCCCAGAGTTACTTATTACCTTAATATAGAATACTCTGTTCTATGAAAGTTTCTTTTTTCCTACTTCCTATTTGTTTTGTTCCCAAATTCCCCTGTTTAATAAAGCCAGACCTAGTCCTCTGAATTCCTAAAACCACACTATTAGACAGAAGGAACCAGATCTGAGTATTTCCTTCCATCCATGCTTCTTCCACAGTCAAAGAGACTTAGAGATGGCATCTGGCCAACAGGCCATGATTCCACCTGTCCCAACCTACTATTAAACTAAGGAGATTCAGAAAAACAGATGAGTTCATAACACTGATATTTAAGACTGTCCACCCATCTTATGCTGAATATTAGAAGAGTTATTTACAGGATCTATAGGGTTGAACTGAGTATTACAACTGGTAACTGACATGCTGACACATGCTCTTAACGAGGAAAAGAAGTGACAGTCTCTACATAAAGAAGACCTTTAAAAAGCACAAAGTGATATAAAGAAGCTTAGAAAAATGCCATCTTTCTGATACATAAAACTCAAACGCTGTAAATCAGTTTAACCAGCTACCAATTTAAAAATATGTTTAATGTGTAATTAAATTGCAGCCAAACCCTCAGAATGTTGAGGGGAACTTGACAAAGCGATTCTAAAATTCATTAAGAAAAATAAATAGAAAAGACCAGCAAAGAAAAATTTTGAAGAGAAAACAGCAAACTTACACAACCAAATGCTGATCTGCCTTTATGAATGCAGAGACTCAGAATTGACTTTTCTATCTGACTCATCTATGAATACTCTTCATCCCCACCTCAGCACAGAGTAGGCTTTCAATAAATATTAGTGTAATAAATAAAGTTACAATAATTAAAATAGTGTGGTACTGTTGCAAGGACAGGCAAAGCAGTGAAATAAAATACAGAGAGCAGAAACTGAGGTTAACACACAATTTAGTAACTAAGGTAAAGGTAACATATCAAATCACTGGGATATGATTTTGGAACAGTCGATTAAGTGGCTGGAAAAAAATTAAGTTTGACTTCTACCTCATATAATATAGTAAAGTAAGTATCAGCTATATCAACTTGGTAAGTAAAAAAAATGAAACCACAAGAAAATTAGAAGGAATCATAAAAAAATAATTATCATATAATATAGTAGGTAATGTCATTTTTAACATTTAAAAAAATTGAAAAAAAAATTGATAGACATGACTCCCCAAAATTTAGAAGGCTTTGTGTCAATAAAGCATAATAAAGTTGAAATGTAAGATAAAAATGGAGGCTACTGCAACATATGATAGCATATAATAAAATATTCTTCTTACATTAAGAGTTCTTATCAATTCATTAAAAAAGAAAATCATCCCAATTCAAAACTGAGCAAAGAACATGAATATAGACTTCACAAAATAAAAATACAAATGGCCAAATATCACATTAAAAAAAGTGCAAATTGAGTAACAAAGAAATGCAAATTTAAACAAGGTATTATTTTTTTGCCTATCAAATTAGAAAATACTACAGTATTTAATAAAATCACTGCTGGCAAATGAATGATGTTATGACAGTTTATCTTGGTATAACCTTCCTGGAGAGCAATATGTATCAGTAATTTTTAAAATGTCCACACTGACATTTACCAAGAATTAACTCTGATAAAACAGAGATGCACATAAAGATTGGCATACAAGAGTGCTCATCATAATTTAATTAATAAGAATTACAATTAGAAAATGCCAATAACAGGTAAGTGAAATAAAACATGGGAAATAAATGCAATGACATGTTGGGCAAAGTAGCCTGAAGAATTATAGCTGGGAAGATGTTCATGATACATGCTAGGTAAAGACAACAAAATTGTGTCCATGTGTCACTACTCCAGTTTGCTTTTCACTAAAAAAGAGGTACATTTACATAGATACGCGCATCCAAAAGACAGAGGAACTATAGAAAAAGTGTAATAAGAATAAAAGGTATTTTAATTTTTCCTTACACCTCTGTATTTTCAAAATTCTCTCTAACGAATATCTGTTAGTTTTATAATTAAAAAATTAAACGTGATTTTTAAAGTAAACACCCCTTACCTTAATGAAACCCCAGAGTCCTCCAGCAGATGCTTCATCCTGCCCTCTACCAATTCTAGGATCTTCTTGCTGCTCTGGAAAAGTTATGGCTGATGTGGTTCCAGTTCCCTGTGCCAGAGATGTCAAACCAGCTTGCTGAGTAATGGGAGTTGGCAAAATACCTAGTTAATGGCAAAAATGTTAATATATGTAATTTATTCCATAAACTATTTCCTATAAAAAGAAGATACAACATATGAGATGAGTAGTTCAAAACAGCTTAATAATGTAACTATATACTCAGGCATTTCAACACTGAGATATGAGCTCAAAAGAATCACCTAAACCTTTATAAAATATACAAAATTCCAAAGAAGAAATTTCTTTCCCTCTTCAGAAGCTTAGACCAAGTGCCCTGAAAATGGACAGAAAATATACATCCAAAAGTACTTCATGTTTGCCCTATGAGCACTTGGATGCAGACAGCTATAGTTTGGATCTCTTTAAAGCATAAAAATAGCTGATATGAGCACTCAAGCCCATCATACAAAAAGCATGTAAAAATTAGTAAACATATCCACATACCCTATTTTAACTCAAAAAAAAAAATTCACATACATGTGGGTGTCATACTTGTACTCTCGAAAAATCTTTATTTGTTAAGGTAGACAAGGCAAGTTGGATTATAAAATCACGACAAAATTGTTTCTTTTCCTAAAATGAGAAACAATAGACAGAGTATGACAGGATGAAGTTTTGATATTGATTTCCAATAACCATTCCTGGGAAGTCGGAAAAGTAGGTGTAACTGACCTAGAAAATAAAATAGTCCAATTCCACCAACTTATGGCACATATGCTTATTTGTTTTTGAACTTTTACCTGGCTAAATAAAACTACTCCCTGGACCATTCAGTCCTAATAATTTTTTAAGTAAAGCTTTTAAAAAAAACTCTCAGACTCCACCTTGATGTTTCTCTATAACTGCACAAAATGTTACGACAAAATTTTCGAATTCTGTCTGACATTCCACATACTAATCATGTACTAAGTTTTATATCATATAAAAATCATATATTAAGTAACATCAGCTTTATTTTAATAATTTAAATGAAAACAGGAAGCTCTGGAGATCAAGGAAAAGGGAATGAAACACTCATGCACAGTAACAGGACCCCTCATACACTGCTGGTGAGAAAGTAAAATGGTGTAGCTGCTTTGGAAAATAGTCTGGTAGCTGTTCAAAAGTCAGCAATTCTGACATGCACCCCAGTGTTCACAGCACGGCACTATTTACAACAGCCAAGACATGGAAGCAACCTGAATGTCCATCAACAAATGAATGGATATATATATATATATACACACACACATACATACATATACAATGGAACATTACTCAGCCATAAAAAAGAATGAAATACTGCCATTTGCAGCAACATGGATGTACCTAGAGATTATCATACTAAGTGATGTAAGTCAGACAAAGACAAGTATCATATGGTATCACTTATATGTGGAATCTAAAAAATGGTGCAAATGAACTTATTTACAAAACAGAAATAGACTCACAGACATACAAAAAAACCTTATGGTTATCAAAGGAGAAGGAGGTGGGTAAATTAGGAGTTTGGGATTAACAGATACACACTACTATATATAAAACAGATAAACAACAAGGGCCTACTGTATAGCACATGGAACTCTACTCAATATCTTGTAATAACCTATAATGGAAAAGAATCTGAAAAAGAATATAGATATATGTATAACTGAATAACTATGTTGTACACCTGAAACTAACACAATGTTATAAAGCAACTATACTTCAATTAAAAAAAAAAAAAACCCTCCAGGAAAAAAAAGTCAGCAATTCTGCACCTAGGTATAAACCCAAGAGAAATGAAAACATGTTCACATAAAACCTTGCACACAAAGGTTCACAGAATCAGTATTCACAATAGGCAAAAAGTGCAAACAACCCAACAGTTTATCAACTGATGAAATGCATAAACACGTGGTATATCCATACAATGGAATATTATTCAGTCTTAAAAGGGAAGTTCTGACACATGCTACAACATGGATGGATCTTGAAAATATTACGCTAAGTCACAAAAGACACATATTATGAGTCCATTTATATGAACTGTTCAAAATAAGCAAATTCATAGAAACAGAAAGTAGATTAGTGGTTCTGAGGGCCATGAGGATTGGGAGGAAGTAGGGAGTGACAGCTAATAGGTATGGGGTTTCTTTGGGGCTGATTAAAAGGTTCTAAAATTGATTTTGGTGATGGCTGCACAACTCGATAAATACAGTAACAACTATTAAACTGTACACATGAAAGGGTTCAATTGTATGTGAATTATACCTTAATAAAGCTGTTAAAAAAAAAAAAACTTCACCATAACCACTTGTTTCAAAGTATCAGTGAGAGAGAGAATTACCTGTCACCGGAGGTGCAGAAAAAGACGGCATCAGGGGTGTCTGGGGAGCTCTTCCTGCATGTCCTCGTGTAATGTCATAGGCTGAGCCGACAGAGAATCCTGATGTGGGAGGACCCGAAGCGGGAGCAGGTAAGAGAGTGTTTGGGGCAGAAGTGGAAGGTGGGAAGTGGGATAAAGGAGGGTTACTGAAGGCAGCAGCAGTTGGTGGAGAAACATGAGGTGGTAAAGAGGTAATGAGTGGAGGACCAGAAGGAACCGGTGAAGGAGGCACAAAGGGCAAGGGTGGCGAAGGCCTCACAGGAGGCAGGGACTGCTGAGGGGTGGAGAACGTGTGTGGCGGCGGGGGCTGCACAGAGGACACGCTTGGAGAAGAGAGAGCGCTGGCCGCAGCTAGAAAAAGGAGGGCAGGAAAAAAATGCGTCAGTGAAATGTTTTTCACTTAGTTTTCAAAGTGTCTCATTATTGTCTTCTTGGAAAATTTTTAAATTTAACAGACCCTATCCCAAGAGTTATTTTTAAATGTGTGATGTGAAATATACGACTATGACTGAGTGCAAATGACTTTCAACTCCCATCAGTAAAAGCAGCAGATATGTAAAATTAAGTTATGGTATTGCAGACCTTTGTGTTTTTGTTTGTTGTGATGTGCTTTTAATAAAATAAAGCCGTTTTTCATCCCTGCTGATATGAGCATAAAACCTCACAATTTAAGGCTCAAACTTTGGTCAGAAGGTTAATCACCACAAAGTCACAGAACATTAGACAAAGCTAACACATACTTTTTAGGATATCTCTGTCATAACAAAGATGATTTCTAGTCAGTATGAACATAAAAAATGAAAGTTAGGATAAAGCAAAATATATATGTTTTCTGTCTTTGGGCTTAAATTAAAAAAGGTATCTCCCTTCATCCTGGCAAAGATTACAGAATTTTTAATATACAGGCACACCTCATTTTATTTTGCTCCGCTTTACAAATTGAAGGGTTGTGGCAACCCTTGTGTCAAGCAAGTCTATCAGCACCATTTTTCCCAACAGCATTTGTTCTTCGTGTCTCTGTGTGACATTCTGGTAACTCTCACATTTCAAACTTTTTCATTATTATTATATTTGTTATAGTGATCTGTGATCTCTAATGTTACTAATGCAAAAAGATGACAACTCACTAAAAGCTCAGATGATGATCAGCATTTTTAAGGAATACTTTAGCAAAGTTTTTACTTAAGGTACGTACATTCTTTTTTTTGACATAATATATTGCACACTTAACAGACTACAGTATAGTGTAACCATAGTTTTTATATGCACTGGGAAACAAAAAAATTCATGTGACTCACTTTATTGCAATATTCACTTTATTGTAGTGGTCTGGAACTGAACTCACAGTATCTCTGACGTATGCCTCTATGCTTTTTTTAAATGACTCTGAGAAAAGATAACAGGATCTTGACTAACCTCAAAACATACTGATGGTAGACAACTGCACGTACCTAAAGGGGCTGGGGGGGAAGACGGCTGTGCCGCTGTGGCAGCGACAGCCAGTCCTGCTGAACTTGGTGGAGGAGTCCCAGGTGGTGTTGTCTCTATTCCACTCTCTTCCATCATTTTTCTTCAATTACGGTAAAACTGTAAAAATATTAAAATGTAATAAATATTACACAGTAATAAAAAGTATATTTTTAAACCTTGTATAGTTAGAGAATAGTTTTTTAAAATAATCAACAGACAGATGTCTGTCTTTACTGTTTATAATGCCACTTATCTCCAGGTGAAGGGTTTGTCAAAATTCCTAAGGAAATAGTCTGTGAGAATATTTAGCATGCAAACAATCTGAGACATTTTCATACACCTACTCCATTACTGAGAAATAATTTTACGTTAACTAAGTAATTAATTACCCAATATATTTCAAATAGTAAATTACTAATTTAATTTCTGCCACATGAATGCATGATAGATTTATATCTAGATTCCAGTCACTATTACTTTTAAAATAAAATTAAGTTATTTAAAGTATTCTTGAAACACTTCCTCTCTCCTCATTAAGCAGTGTACGAGGGCTACTCCTGTTAACAGTAAAAAAAAATTTTTTACTGTGCTCAATTCCCAGGTTTTCTTAGTTTACATTCTAAAATGTGCCCCATAATGGCTAAATGATATGTCTTGGGTTTTAGAAAATTTAACTGTAGCAAAAATGCCACTAGATAGCATTTCGACCTAACAGTCAAAAATGGGTTACAAAATGTGGGAAAACTTCCTTAAAAATTACAAATTTTCAAGCCTGCCTCAAGTATAAAATCAAAACTTCTAAACCTACCAAATAAGTTTTTGAAGTTCTTACTCATTTAACAAATATTCAGTAACAGTCAACCACTTGCCAAGCACTGTACTGATGCCTCTGGAAATACAGTGTAAGCAAAACAAACGGGATACTTAAAGTCCAGTCTGGGAGACAGTCAAACAATGACAGCAACATAACAATGAACTATAGCCTGAATGATGTGCTCTGAGAGCAGGAACAATTCTGCTCGCTGGGAATATGGTTTTGACTTGCGGACAGAAAAGGGTTCCCCAAGGAAGTCACATATAAGCTGAGATCTGAGGGACGATCAGAATTTAATTAGGCAAGGGAAAGGAGCTAAAGAGGGCACATGCCAGAAAAAGTGAATATAGAGAAGGTATAAAGGCCCTGGAAGGTTGAGGGACATTGACACATTCAAGAAAACGCATGCAGCAGAAAGGAATAATGAGGACCGGAGACATGGAGAGGAACTCAGACTGTGCTGACACGTATAAGCCAAATTAAAGAGTCGGGTCTTTTAAGAACAGAAAGTCACTGTGGGGCATTCAAACTGGGAATGACACATTGGGTCTTTTCACTTTTTTGAAGAAATTTCAGATTCACAAGAAGATGCCAAAATAGAGCAGACTTCATGAGTACCTTAAACCCAGTTTCTGCCAATGATGGCATCCTACGTAACTAGACTACGGCGATAAAACCCAGGAAATTAACAATGGCACAATGCGAGTAGCTGAACTACAGACCTTATTTGGATTTCACCTGTTTTTACATTCACGTGTGTGTGTGTGTGTGTGTGTGTAGTTCTATGAAGTTTCATCATATGCACTGACTCGTGTAGCTACCACCACAATCAGGACACAGAACTGTTCCATCACCCCAAAGAAACTCCCACGTGCTGCTCCTTGGTCGCACCCTCTCATCAACGATAAGCTCTGGCAACCAACTGTTCTCTACCATTTTCTCATTTCATGAATGTTACGTAAATAGAATCATACAGCACACAACTTTTTGAGATTGGCTTTCTTCACTCCACAGAATGCTCTTAAGATCCATCCAAATTGTTGGATATATCAATGGTTGGTTCTTTACTGCTGAAGAGTATTCCATTTTATAGCTGTACCACTGTTTGCTTATCCATTTATTTGCTGAAGGACATTTAGGCTGATTCCAGCTTTTGGCCATTCATATTTGTGTTTTGGAAAAATTCCTCTGACCACAGTATGCAGTTTGTGCCACAGGGCAGTCAGAGTAGATGCAGAGAGACCATTAAGAAGGATATAGAAGTAGTTCAAATAACATCCTAGGTTAGTGATTCTCAAATGGGGAGTGGAGGAGGGTGATTCTGCCCCTCTCCCCCGCAAGGGTCATTTGGCAATGTCTGGGGACATATTTGGTTGTCAGAACTAGGGGGTATTACTGGTATCTAGTAGGTAAAGGCTGGGGATACTGCTAAAAATCCTACAATGCACAGGATGCCCCCACAAGAAAGAGTTATCTGGCCCCAGACTAAGGTGATGATAGTGGAGATGGAGAGAGTGGATAGACTCAAGAAATGTTTAGGTGGTTAACACTCAGTGACTGACTGGATATGGGGTCCAGGAGGGGGAGAGGCATGACTTGCACAACTGGAGAGATGGTGGTGCCATTCAGTAAGACAGGGAACACTGGAGGAGGTCAAGGTGTATGTCTGACATCCTGGGAGAGGAGGGATTATGCAGTATTTAATACCAGACATGCTAAGTTCAAGCTCCTTGAAACGTCCAAGTATCGGTGACTTGGTCTGCAGCTCAGCAACCACATAAATGTGGGCTTCAACAGTTTACTGATAGTCTCTAAAGTCATGTGCTGAAAAGAGATTATATGAGAAGATCAGGAGAAAAAAGAAGATGGCCCAACGAACCCTTGAGGAAGAGCCCAGGAAAAAAAAAAAAGCCTGCAGAGAAGAATGGAAGACCAGAAAGATAGGAAGAAAACCAGGAGGCTGTGGTGTCCAAAAGCCAGAGAAGAGTGTTTCAAGTTAGGAATGGGCAACAGTATCAAATGCTACAGAAAAGACAAATAGGATGATATATGTAAAAGTCAACAGATTTGCCAAACTGGAGATAAAACTTAGTGAGAGCCGTTTCCATAGAAGGAGTGGGGACAGAAGCCAATTTCAACTGGACTGAGGTGTGTGAGGTGAAGCAAATACGTACAACACTTTCAAAAAGTTCTGTTGTGAATGCAGAGGAAAGATCTATGGCAGTAAGTAGAAAACAGGTATCCAGGGAAGCAAAATCCTTTCATTCAATCCCTACAGACGAAGATAATCAGGGACAGAATGGCCTTCTGGGGGCTTTATCACTCCCTGATAAAGCTACCTCTTTTCTTCATCTCATTTTTCTACTGGTTATTCATCTTCCTCCTACAGATACTACCAATTCTCACAGTAATTAGTAGAAATCATATTTAAACATAAATATTAATGAATGCATTTGCAAAAGAACCTGTACAATGAATACAACCCATAAAATGGAATAATTGGTCAATTTCTTTCTGTCTTTAAAAGCCGTACTATTTGAGAATTGGCTTAATGACAATATTGGGTAAATTTTGGATGCATAAACATAATACCTTTTACTAAAGAAAAGCTCTTGTGATAAAAGTAACAGCAAAATGTCAGAGTTGGTAAAGGTTCTAGTGCTCATTCTCGACACAAAAAGGATATTAATGTATCAGCATTAAAGAAAAAGTGATAGAAAAAAAAGTGATGGAAATGGCTTGGAAAATTGAGTCCTCAGTCTCTGGACCGACGCTGATCTTCCAATTTGCTTGTGTCTTGGTTCTTCTGTTAAAAAAAGTAGGTGGCTACTTATAAAGATACAAGAAAAGGTTTGATAAATGTAAAAGCTTGTTAAAAGCGATTATTATTGTTGATTACCGGTTCAAAAGATAATCTATACTACCCTTTAGTGAGCACTGCTACAGGAAGGTCTGAGTTTTGTCTCTGCATTCCCACGTCTTATCCCAAAATAACTTCCATAAACGTTCACTGACAAAATAGCAGCTGTACAGGGAAAAGACTGGAATGCCAAAATGCGTCACGTTCGCAGAAATCTACATGTTGTCTCTTAAAATAACTACTTGGAATGACAAAAACTCTCTTGGATTGGACAAATTCTGCCAATCTACAGTACAGGCTATTCGGCAAACTCGCCCGAAGCAGTTCCCAGGAACGAACAAAGAGACAGCACAGTGCAAAAGCCCTCTGGAGCGGCGCTAGGCACCGATGGGGGAACCCACGGGAAAGGAAGCTACATCCCATTGCCCGTCCCCGTTTGTTGACCTAGGAGTCTCCCAGGCGGTACCGGCCTCCCCCCAAGCTCTGCCACGTCTCCAGGCCGGGCTGGGCCGAGCTAAGGTCAATGGGCTCCTGCCTCCTTATCTCCCCTCCGGCCAGCGCGGTGGAAGGTGGAGCCAAACAGCCCGGGGCGCCGGCGCCGGTCCCGGAACTGGAGCAAAGTGCCGGATAAGACCCCCGGGCCGCACCCACCGTGTAAGCCGCGGCGGGAACGGCTTGCCTCTCGAAGCGCACCCTGAACCCTGCATGCACCCAAGGCCCGCGCCCGGACTGCACGACGGCGGAACTCCCAAACTACCCTCGCTCTCGGGGCGCCTGCCGGCCCACCCACCTCGCACCACGGCGCCCCTGGGCGCCGGTTTGGGAGCCCGCGTCCCGTCCGGTCGCCCGCATACACCCGCGTTACTGCCAGGCTGACGCTCACCTGCGGGCCGGAGAGAGTGTCTGCGTGGCAGTGAAAAGCGAGGACTACGGAGGCTGAGCTGTAGGACTACGAGTACGACAAGACGAGCAAGATGCAAGCAACCGCTCACCGCGCACGCCCCCACCTCCAAGATGGCCACCGTAGGTGCACTTCCCTGCGCTGCCACGTCGGCCGCGCGCCGCCCCGCCCCGCGCCCCGCCCCGTCTCGTTCGCCCGGATCCCCGACCCGTGGCCGCAAATTTAACCTGCTGGAGTACTTGGGGCCAAAGATCATCCTGCCCGGAGGGCTGGGTGCTGCCCAGCTCTAGGAGCATTCTCCAGCAGGGCTGCCCAACTTTCCACGCCGCAACCTCCGTACGCGAGAATGGAACCCTTGTTACCGGGTGTAGCTCACTTACTCTGTGCCGTGGCCGCCCGCGGGGATGACGATGAACCAGCCCGGGTCGTCCAGTCCAGTCCCCGCCTCCAGGAAGGACCTTGCTCCGGAAACGGGAGACTTATCCTATGTATTTTCAAAGATTTCCAAATAATAGCGGTTGCATCAAGAAAGAGAGATAACACGGTGGCAGCTACCATACTGATTTCCCCCCCAAAGTTCATGTATTACACATTCTTTTTTTTTAAATGGAAAACCAAAGATTATCCACTTTCTTAACTTTACGTGCTGCACTTAAAACCGTTCCTGAAAGTCGGTGCTCAATAATGTACACTAAATAAATCAATGAATAGAGTGCAATGGAGGAATATAAAGAATTTGCAATCAGAAGTCCTGTTTAGGTCCAGGAGTGCCCTAATGCCACTTGAGCAGTCATGGGACCTTGTATAGGTCACTTATTCTCCCTAAGTCTCAATATTCCATCTGTAAGATAGGAATAATATTGTTTGCCATCTCTAATCAAGCAGGTAACAGAGTTAAAATAAGACATACGAAAGCACTTTTTAAACTGAGAGGTAAACACATTAAAAACTTGTTTTTATTGTTCCCAAATTCCTTCAGGAACTCATTTGTAGATTTAGCATTAATATAATATCCCGGACTTGACAGCTGAAAGCATTTAAAAATTCCAATACCTCACTGAAATGTTAATACTATTTAACTATGCCCTAACTTCAGACAAAATGATTTGCAGCTGCAGTGGGTTGTTCCCTTTGGCAGTGACTCTTATCCCACCCACTGAGAATGTGTGTAGATGGCTGTCTAGGTTACTCGCCAGAAAGTGCTGTTTGGGTTGGTGTTGAAAATAGTTACCATCTCTATCCTCTTTGGTCTACACCCTTAATAGCTATAAGAACTGTTCCTTTCTTCATTCATTCAACAAATATTTATTAATGGCTGCAATGTGCTGAGCATCAGTACTGGAAATGTAGCAATGAACAAGACAGGAAAGATCCTTACACTGAGAGGCAGATCTTCTCACAGGAGAGGCAGGCTATGAGCAGGAAAATAAAAGAACTAAGTACTGTTTGTGATGGGCACTTTGAGGAAAGTCAATAGGGTGATTATTATTGACAGTAATTGGGGTAGGCCACTTTGGATAGGACAGATGTGCAAGCCTTCTCTGAGGAGGTGCGATTTGAGTACAGATCATAAGGAAGCAGCCCTGTGGTTCTCTGAACAGAAGGAAGAGCGTGCAAAGGCTCTGAGGGAGGGTGACTGGCAAACTTGCAGAACAAGAAGGAAAGCGGGACTGAGAGGGTGGTAAGAAATGAGGTCAGAGAGATAGCCGGGCCAAATCGTAGCCAGCCTTGTAGGCCATCTTAAGGCCTTTGGGTTATATTGAGAGAAATGAGAAGCAGGTGGAAGGTATTGAGCAGAGGAGAGACAAGACTTGACTTCAGTTTTCAATCACATTCTGATTGCTGTGTGGACTGTAGGCAGGTGCAAATACTAAAGCAGAGTGATCATAATGAGATGATGGTGCCTTAGAGGAACTAATGGGATGAGGGCAGAGCGGGTACATGGTGTGGACATATTTTGAAGGTTAAGCTGTCATGATTTACTGATCGATTGGATGTGGCTGTATTAGTTTCCTAAGACTGCCAAAAAAAAATTACCACAACTGGTTGGCTAAAAGCAACAGAAATTGGGCTTCCCTGTTGGCGCAGTGGTTGAGAGTCTGCCTGCCGATGCAGGGGACACAGGTTCGTGCCCCGGTCCGGGAAGATCCCACATGCCGCGGAGCGGCTGGGCCCGTGAGCCATGGCCACTGGGCCTGCGCGTCCGGACCCTGTGCTCCGCAACGGAAGAGGCCACAACGGTGAGAGGCCCGCGTACCGCAAAAAAAAAAAAAAAGGCAACAGAAATTTATTCTCACACAGTTCTAGAGACCAGAAGTCCAAACTCAAGGGTCAGCAGGGCCTCTCTGAAGGCTCTAGGACAGCATCCTTCCTTGCCTTTTCTAGCTTCAGGGGAGCCAGATGTTCTTTGGCTTGTGCCAGCCTAACTCCAATTTCTGCCTTTATGTCCACATGGCCTCCTCTCCTGTGTCTCTGTGTCTCAAATCTCCCTCTGCCTTTCTTTTATAAACATGCCTGTCACTGCATTTAGGGCCCACCCTAAATCCACAATAATCTCATCTCAAGATCCTTGAGGATCTAGACCCTATTTCTAAATAAGGTCCTATTCACAAGTTCCAGGTGGATGCGTCTTTTTTGTGAAGAACACTGTTCTACCCACTTACATGGGTCATGAGAAACAGGAGTCAACCAAATAAGCAGGATTATAAAATAGGTTTTGAAGTTAACCTTGAATTGCATTTATAAATTGTTTTACTCATCATGTCTCATTTAAACTTCAAAACAACTTTGTGTGGCAGGTATTATTATTATTCCAATATAAGAAATAAGAAAATTAAGGGTCTGAGAATTGTGTGTAGGCCTGGAATTAGAACCCAGAATTCTTCAGCTATACCCCAGATTCTTGCCTGCTTTTGGGGTGGTGGGGTAAGAAGATATGTTCTTAGACGGAGGGCATTGAGGGGAGTCAATGGAAGATTATAGCTTAATGACAGGCCTACTTAGGTTTTTTGGTTTTAGCTAGCAGAACTCATCAAATTTTTTTGTACAGGAAGTCTCTAACACATAATAGAGTTCATTTCTGAGCTACAGTGCTTTAGTGGAATTTTGCTTTTATTGCTCAAAACCAGAGGCCAACAAAATTATTTCCCACTTGAGGCTTTTTTCAGCTCAATTTGTAGTTAATAGATCCATTCTTAAATAGCCTTAAAACAGTCCATAAAGTTTGTACTATTCATATGAATATTGATGTGTTTATCTCCAGGTGGAGAGGAGACCAGGCTGAGGCTCTGAGCATCTGCAGCATAACCGGGACTAGAGGCAGAGCTGAATCTGTTTGAGAGACCATGGGCTCTGCTGAGAGAACAGTCAGTGAGTTATACAATCAGAAAGGACACATCAGCGGATGTGTCAAGGGTACCGGCTCATGCATAGAGATCAGGGGCTCATACCCACATCCAGCTCCTGCAAAGAGGAGATGTAAGTTCCTTTGGCACCTAGGAAGGAGGAGGATGGTTGTCCCAAACACTGCATGGGACATACCTGTACTAAGATATTATTCATTGTTTAGCTGGAATTCAACTTTAGGAGGAAAGCAAGCCATGACCGAGAGTCTGAGAGGCAATGTAGTGTAGATTAGGACACAGATATTGGTACCAGATGCCCTGGATTTGACTACACCTGCTAGGTCAACAGCTAGCCTTGGGCATGTCACTTAAACTCACTGTGTCTTGATTTTTTCACGTATAGAATGAGAATTATACTAATACTTACCTCATAGTTTTGTTGTTGTTGTTTCTTGGGTTTTGTTTTTTTTTAATTTATTTTATTTTTGGCTGTGTAGGTCTTCGTTGCTGCACGCGGGCTTTCTCTAGTTGTGGCGTGCAGGGGCTACTCTTCGTTGTGGTGTGTGGGCTTCTTATTGCGGTGCCTTCTCTTGTTGCGGAGCAGGGGCTCTAGGTGCCTGGGCTTCAGTAGTTGTGGCTCGCGGGCTCTAGAGCGCAGGCTCAGTAGTTGTGGCACATGGGCTTAGTTACTCTGCGGCCTGTGGGATCTTCCCAGACCAGGGATCGAACCCATGCCTCCTGTATTGGCAGGCGGATTCTTAACCACTGCACCACCAGGGAAGCCCCTTACCTCATAGTTTATTTGTGGATTGAATAACTGAATATGTGTGAAGTGCTTAGAATAGTGCCTAAATCACAGTATTCTCTAGATAAGTATTAGAGTTAATAGTCTCTATATATTCTTTGACTTTTAAATTGCCTAAATATTCACCTGACAATGACTGTTTTAAACCAAAAAGATTTTTATTTAGGTGAGTCTGAGTTGTAATTTCCAAATAAAGTTTTTATATGCTTCTTTGTTTGTTTTCAACGACAGAAAATTTTGTTTAGTTTTAAACAGAGTGACTCAACCTCTTGATTTTCCCAGGACACTCCCAATTTACTGCCGTATTCTCAGCATAATTATTAAAAGCACCCACCTTTTACTCTCAAAAGTGTTCCAATTTGGACAATAAATCTTGTGCTTATCCTAGTTACAGAGATATTAAGATACTCTCGGGCTTCCCTGGTGGCACAGTGGTTGAGAATCTGCCTGCCGAAGCAGGGGACACGGGTTCTAGCCCTAGTCTGGGAAGATCCCACATGCCGCAGAGCAACTGGGCCTGTGAGCCACAACTACTGAGCCTGCGCATCTGGAGCCTGTGCTCCGCAGCAAGAGAGGCCGCGATAGTGAAAGGCACGCGCACCGCGATGAAGAGTAGCCCCCACCTGCCACAACTAGAGAAAGCCCTCGCACAGAAACGAAGACCCAACACAGCAAAAATAAATAAATAAATAAACTCCTACCCCTAACATCTTCTTTAAAAAAAAAAAACTTACTCTCTTTGCACATGTGAGTTACAGTGTGGAAATGTCAGTACCTGCTCCTCACCTGAACACACGTAATCATCATTACCAGAGTCCCCTACAGTTTGCTTCAAAAAACTAACTTATCTTTCTAAAATATGGATTTATAAAAACACTCTGACTCCTCATTGCCTGCATGGTAAAATCTTAAAAACTCAACTTACCCTTATTTTCTAGACTCTTCTCCTCTTCCTGCATCT